TTCACCTTGGCCAAATGTGGCACTAACAGCAATCACTTTGTCTAAAAATCGTGCTCGATAAGGATAATAGGTTATCCATTTTCTATTCTATTATTTTCTTTCTCTTTTAGTTTTACAATCGACTTAATCCTAAATATCTTTTTAACTTATTATATGGATGAGGCAGCATTACATAAGGAATTCTTGGTGGATGATGCAACCCTACATTGTGAGATCTCTATGAATGAGGTAACATTGTACAAATCTCTCATATGGATCTAAACTATAAATTGTTGATGGATGAGGTGACACTACAAATCCTTATGGATGAGACATTAGAATATGGGATCTCACAAGGAATTAAACAATAGACTTTGGGTCATGGAGCTGAACTGCAAACTTTGGGAGAATCATGAAACTAAATTTTTTCTTCATCTTTACAAATTTCTTCCATTATTTTAATTTGTAAGCTTTTCTTTGTTTAGAAGAGTTTTAGAATTTCTTTTTGAAACTATATTTTTAAAATTTAAATTTAATTTATTTTGTTCAATTAAAATTATTTAAACTATATAATTTTAATTAAATAAAATAAAAATAATTTGAATATCATTGCATTTTATTGTAATTGTTGGTAGGATTCATTCCTTCTCATATTTCATTCACTCCTTGTAGTAGATATTTAAGTTGTTACCTTTTATTTTTCTTCATTCTAATAATAAATCATATTTTATTTTTTAGTTTGATCTAATATCTATTGTTATTTTTTTCTCTTTTAAATTCTTCTAAACTTCTTTTTTCTTTGAACAAGAAATGTACAATGATAGAGACTAGATCTAATATCTATCATTATTTGCTAAATACAATTATAATCAATATCTCCTAATTATAAATGAAGCATTAATAATAAATTTTGATTAATTACAATTTAAAATTATTTTATTAATTACAAATTGTAACAACATTTCATTATGGATACCAATTATGACATAATTGTATAAATTACAAATTAGAACTGCTATAATTAATTACAATTTAAAATTATTTATTATTAATTTCAGATTATAATAACATTTAATTATGACTAGAAATTATTTTTTATGACAATTGTATAAATTAATATTTGAAATTGAAGCATTCATACAAATTTTAATTTTATTGTCATTTTCTTCGATATTTGATACCTATACATATATTTAAATGAATTAATAAATTTAAAATATTATTTAAATTATACTTTTAAAATATATTTAAATTTGAAAAACTCGTACATAATTTATCATTATACTTCAATTTCAAATAATTCTTCATTCATTATATGACAACTCTAAATTATATTATATAAAAATATAATTAAGAAATAATTTGTATAATTCATGTAGTTTTAATTAATAAATATATTTTTACTTATAAATTTAATAACTTTTCTATAATTATTTAATTTCAATATTTAATATAATGTTTATTTTAACTTTTAAATATTTCTAATATTTTCAAATTATAACATATATATTTATTCATATGGCCATATAACATGCGAGTCAATATCCAGTTATATGTTAAAAGCAAGAATTTTGACATCTGAGACATTTCTCGACTAAAAAATATCATCCACATGCATAACAAGCATAGCTAATTTTTGCACCTAATGTTACCTATATAAAATAAAGGTACTTATTTCATTCGTTATTATTACAAACACTTCAAAAATACTGTCTTAGAACTCATAATCGTATGCAACCACCGTAGTTTGTGATTGTCACTACAAAATCCACTACTTCACCGTCACAATTAGAGGTCGTATTATTTAAACTGTAAAGGGAGTCACTGGATGCCTAATCCTCCACTCAATGTCACAACATTATATGCCGTATGTGGAAAATGTCGTATTTCTCAACTCCTTGGTTCGTTGTGTCAAAGAAATTGTAGTTGTGATAATGAGCATGGAAAATCATAAAGAATCATCATTTGAACAAGAAATAGATATCCAACGCAATTGGAAAAGGAGCACGTGTAATGGCTGGAGGGTTTTTTCTAATATTTGCATATTGGTAGATCGATTTTGCATCCTCCTACAATGCCATATTTGGAAGGCTGGCATTGATAGGATTAGAAATTGTTATTTATATGGCTCATCTTGCCATGAGATTTTTAATGATGATTGTAACATCCGAATTTTCTATGGGTAAATAGTTAATTATTATTTATTTTATATTTATAGAGATTATGTTCTCATAGTTATTTTAATGGGTTTTATAGAATGTTTTAAAGATTTTTAATAATTATTAGTATTTTGATAATGAATATTTATAAAAATTGTTTTTGTAATATTTTGATTGTTAGTAGCCCAGAACAGGCCGTTCTCAAACTGGAACGGGCCGTTCCAGACTACTAAAATGGCCTAAAAAGACTAGGTTGGAATGGACCGTTCTGGATATGAAATTTGCGTAGGACAAATGAGTCCAAAACGGACCGTTCCGGATTCGAAACAAGCCGTTCTTGTCACTTCTGATGCCTATATATAGAACGTTCTGGCACTCCAAAAAGGCATTTTTTCACTTTTAACCTCTTTTCTTCTATACTCTCTGAAGACCAAGGGGAACTCAAAGGAGGAGATTAGCAAGATCTTGTTTTGGTTTCAGCTCTTGCTTATCGAGGTAAGGGGGGAGTGAGAAACCTTGCTCTGGGTGTGAGAATGTTTGTTGGGTAGTGAGATTGGCCTCCAATCCTGTATTTGTTGTATGCTCATGTATGAGGGGTTTTTCCCAATTGTATATGTTTCATCTATTGTTCCTCTTGTATGTAATTAATTGTATGAATTGCTTGAATGAATGATTAATTTCAGTTTAAAATTGTAATTGTATGATTTGAGATTTCTGTGGGTTCCTACAGGAAACCCTATGAGAAGTAGACAAATTTTTAAATGTTATTTAAATATAAATGTATAATTTTGAGATCTCTATGGGTTCCTATGGGAAACTCTGAGGGAATGAATTTGTAATTGTAACATACAAAATATGAACGTTTTCTGTTTTGCTTTCTATTTGCTCTATTGTATTCCTTGTTGAATGAGATGAATGAATATGTGTTTAGTTTTGAAAATAAACAAGTTTTGATATGAATTAGAGTGCTGTGGGTTCCTGTGAAAACCCTATGAGAAACAGACAAATTTTAAATGTTTTCTGTTTTATCTTCTGAGTTTTCAGTTGTGCTCCTTGATGTTTATGGAGCGTAAATATGTGTTTAATTTTGAAAATAGACAACTTTTAATATGGATTAAAGTGCTCTGTGAAAATTGTGAATAACATGTGATAATGTGATATGACAAAGAAATGTGAATATAATGATGAGATATGACGATGAAATATGATGATGAAATATGGTGATGATCGAAATGTGATGATGAGATGTGATGATGACTATGTGATATGAGAATGAGACATGATAATGTGATATGAGGATGCAGAGTCTTGATTAACATGCATCATGTGCATAAATGTTTTTAAGGGTACGATATGGAATACACCACCAGAGAAGGCCCCCTAGTGTAAAAGATTTGGGGATTATTCCTTGGGGAGAGCTTAGTTTGTATGTCCCAGTCTCGCCCATTGTGTGCATGGGATGTATCTTGCGCGGCTTAGCTATCCCGACGAGACTCTGATAGTATGTCCTTCTAGTGAGAGTGCGCAGAGGGTGTGACCTGGCATGTACTCCTAGACTACTCTTCGTGTATTGCTAGCGGTAATATGTCATGTGATATGTTACTGGCGCCACATGCATGATAAAATGTAGTCCGTGTCCATCCATGTGCATTTTAATGTTATATAATAAATTGATATTTTTATGTCTTGAAGGAGTGAGATGTGATATTAGTATTAATTTATCTGTGTTATATATGTTTTGTTTGTGTTTGGCTATTCGGTGTATATTTTTACACTGTGAGCCAGAGTGAGATGTTTCTCACTCCCTTTTCTTGTGTTGTTTTTCCTTGACTGCCTTACAAGTTATTATCAGCATGAGGCTGAAGATGTTGGTGATGAAGCTTAGACTTATATATTGAGATTTTCTCTAATAGGACATGTGACATCAGGCGTAGATAGGATTAGATTAAGATGTTTTTATTAAATTATTTTGGAAACTTTAGTTTTATTTCTTTGTAATTTCCGCTGATTTTGTTAAATTATGGATGTGGTACTCTCTATCTAAACATGTTTGATATTTTAATTATGAAATGTTATGTTATTCAAATTTTATTATTATGTGTTATGGTATGCGGGGTAGAAGGTGTCACAATGATAGATGTAGTTACGTTGAGAGAAATAAAAAAAATTAAAATATTTTTTTCTTATACTTTCACTTTATTTTTTTAGTTTTATAATTAATTTAAAATAAATTTTTTTAGTCCATATATTTGTTTTAAACTTTTTTAGTCTTTATTATTAACTTTTTAATAACACTATTTTCATGTGAGGACATAAACTTATTATAAATCTACATGACAATTATGTATTTAAGTTTTTGCACAGTAATGTGTCATTTGATTAATGATTCATCATGTAGTCATCAATAACTTGATCTCTATTCTCAATGACATTTCAATCATAGTAAATATTGCTTATCTATATAATAATCTATACTATCATTTTTTCCCTCTCAAATCATTAATGATACATCTCCATTCACCAAAACAAATATATCATCCTCATGTGTATTTAATAAGTTCATATTATTCATATGAAAACGATATTACAAAAAAAAATTTGATGACAGAGACTACAAAAATTAAAAAATATAAATATAGAGAATAAAAAGATTATTTTAAATTATAAAGACTAAAAAGTAAAATCATGAAATTATAGAAACTAAAAATATATTTTAACTTAAAAAAAACAAAAAAAAAAAAAAAGGCACGAGCCCAATTCTCCTTGAGAAAAAGTATACAAATTAATATTTGTAGAGAAAGTGAAACCCCAAGGTTTCCATAAAAAGGAAATTTTTATTACACATTAGTATATAACCATGGATTCAAGCTTTTCTCATTGATTACAAACTCCAATCGTACACAAACAGTACAGATTGATTCGTTGCAATACCACATCGAACCACACAGCTGAGACAAAACATACACAAATACATGCCTTTAGGTAAGGAGTCACTTCGTTAAAAGACAGAAATCACCCGTCTTTTCTATGATGCTCCAACCAGAAAACCAATGAGGAAAAGGAACATTATTTTTGAAATGAAAAGAAGAGAAAAAGGGAAGAGAAAAGGAGAAAAATAATTTCCTGGAATGGTGATTAATTTATGTTTGTTTGACAGCACACAAAGTTTGGATGAAAGTGAGAACAAGAGCAGCAACAGCAGCATAGAAAGCAATGATTGTCCCAGGGGTACTAAAATAAGTATGATAACCAAGAGCTATCCACGTCTTACATTTGTTCCTATAATGCTTCTCAATTTGGAGTCTAACATGCAAATAGTTCTCAGTGTAAGGCACCAAGTCAGCGTTTATGGCATTGAAGAGCATTGTGACTTCCTCATCACTCCCAAGCATATTTTGCAACACCCCGGCTTGTCTCAGCTCCGTAACATCATTAGGATGGTCAATAAACGACCCCATCATGGACATGAAGGAACATATCTCGTAGCTGTTCTCGAAATCTGGACACATCTCGTACGCTATTAGGTTCAGAAACATTGGAGCTGTGCTATCATCGACTATGATCTCAGGAAGCTTAAGTTCCGCACGGAAAGTGAAGAAACCATAGGAGAAAGAGATGTCTCTAAGCCCTTTCGAGTCGCTTTTCTTCACTCTAATCCCTGCTGCTTTCAACTCCTTTATGTTCCTGTATATTGCCCTGTTCAACACTTTATTTGTCTTGTACGCCTGCTCTCGTCTATTCTTGTATCTGCTTTTCTGCTTGTACTCCTTTTGAGGGTCGTTAAGGACCAAGTCGCGCAGCAGATGAAGAAGATGACTAGGTGGTGATTCCTCCTCTATTTCTAGTCTGTATTCTTCCTTGTTAGTTTATGAATTACAAAATAGTAAAAATTTCATTGATTGGTTGGAAGAATGGGGAGGGAAATTTATATTGATAGGCTTAGTTGAAAGGAAAACTAGCTTAGAAGAATAATTGGAATAGATTTGAGTGGAAATAACTTACTAGTTACTTTATTTACAAATGTTGAGTACATTACTTATTTATAGGCTTTAACACTACCATTTATATTTTATGAAGAGAATTATAGAGATATTTATTCTAGAGTTTTCTATCTATATATGTAATTATCTACATAATTTTAAAATTTGTATCATTTAATAGTTACTAACATATACTTATGTATTTTTCTATAATAATCTACCTTATCTCAGAAGTTTGTATTACATTTTAACATTCCTCACTAAAAACATAAATATAAAATATGTTCTAACTGTAATCGTATCTATAATTTAACTAGTATCTTATCATGTTTAATGCTTTTGATATAGTCTTTCATAAAACGAAACATCTGTTTTATTTATTTTTATAGTAATTCTTTTCACTTATGTAAAACACAAACCAAAAGGAATTAAAATTAAAAATGTGTAATAAAAAAGAAGAGAAGACAAAATATATGCAAGCTTTAATTTGTGGTACAGTACCTGTATCCTGACTGTTTTTCCGTGTCGATGTCATGTGTGATTGGCGACAAATGATGCCACTTGAGAAACACTTTCATGGTTTGTAATAGTTTGGCATCATTATATGGCGAGAGTATCTTCAGCAGTATATAGGGAAGCTGGTTCTCTAACAAGAGCACATCCTGCCACACAAGAACAAGTTGGTCAACCTTAACTAGCAACTCTTCTGGTTTATCAAGGTTTCCTCCCTTCTCCAAGATTTGTAGAAGAGCACATCCATCCACAAATAGCATCCGCGATAGCTTTTCATCATGGAGGTCTGCCACGACATCCTCAGCAAATAGTTCCTTCAGCTCTTTGATATATGATGCAATCTTTTGGTACAAAGTTTGTGCAGTTTGATCGGTGCGTTCAATGTACCTTGCTGCCCACATAAGCTTGTATTTTTCTCCCTGTTGCAGGTTCTTTGCGCCATGATGGATTGGACCAATTGACACGAACCTGGGAGAGTAGAACTTATCAAAATGTTTTCGATCTCGGAGATGTTGTACTACCCTTTGTATCTTTGGGAATGCATTTTGTGGTAATTGTGATTCCATTAATGCCTTTTGTAGTTGGGTAAACATCATGTTGAGTTCCTCATCCATGTTGAGCAATAATGCTACTCAGGAACTGTTGGGTATGCTTAGGACTTCTAGATAAATGAAGGAGTATAAGAATCAATGAGCCTTGCTTGTACTTCAAATTTGGATTATATATGATGATTTTATAGTTCAGGAATATACATACATATATATATATATATATATATATATATATATATATATAAAAAATTTTTTTTATATCTCTCACT